AGCCTTTGACAGTCCGGTGATTTAGACATGTTTGTTGGAAAGAAGAGAGGGAAGGATGGTTGGGGAAGGGAGAGAGAACACAGCGGAGCCACCCACATCCACATTAGCAACTCAATGTGGTGACTAATACAGTCAGGTAGAGCACAGGGGTATAGGCTTCAGGTGTGTGGGCACCCAAGGCTCCTTCCTGCAGGCTCCCCAGGAGCAACAGGTAGCAGAGGGGCTGTGTACTTGCCTCAGTTAGCAAAGAGTTTGGGGACTTGTAACAGGTAGCAGAGGGGCTGGTGACCCATAACAAGCAGCAGAGAATTTGGGGACCCACACTAGGTAGCAGAGGGGCTGGGACCTGCACCAGATAGCAGAAGGGACAGGAACAGGGCGGGAAACCGCCCATTTCCATCTTCCCTGTGTGGCTTCAAATAGGATGGAGAGCATCAAACCTGTTTGCAGAGTCTGGAGTTTATGTTCGGCTTCCTCCAGCTTTGAGGTGGTAGAGATCTGTGTTTCTTGCAGTTTTCTGGAAAAATGGAAAGAATGAAGCCAAATCGGTCATCTTGTTTTGAGAACTGAGATTCATTGGGAGGCTTGGGCCCTGCAGAAATGTGCCCCTCTCTGAGAGGCCCGGCAGCAGGCAGGCACACAGTCACCTGTCACTCCAATGCACCCCAAGCTTCATGGTGCAGCTTTCCCACACCCCAATTTTGCAAATGCAATTATATAAGGAGGGATGTGCACCCTGTATCTGCCACCTGACATAGGTGACAATTGGTGTAGTAGGTTCTCCAATGTGGTACTTGCTCTTAAGGTGGCAGATATTAAAAAGGATAAGAAATAAACAGCAACAAAAAAGAAACTAAACACCATCATCATGTACTCATTGTTTTCTGAAGTTCCCAGAGAGAAGGAGGATACATTTACATTTTGCTGACACAAAGGAGGAATCTGTTGGGATAAAGGATGTCCTAAACAGATGTGACAGCTGTCCTTTCCTCTACAATGGAATGCTAATGCGACCAGTGTGTGTGTGTGTGTGTGTGTGTGTGTGTGTGTGTGTGTGTGTG